CTATAAAATTATTTCTAGCAGAAAATTTTGCAAAAAAACTATAAGTAGAATTTTTTTAAACATATTTAAAGAGCTTATTCTTCACATAAACAATCTGCAGTATTTTGGCATGGTTTTCTGTCTTTTGGAAAGGGGAAAATATAAAATGTAAAATTACAAAATATTGTACTATAGCAGCAAAGAATTCATTGTGTTTTAGCCTATGGAACTTGGAAATATACTGAAATTTGAGTTCAGTTAAAAATTCAATTGAAATTTGAGCAGCTAATCAGGAAGCGGTCAAAACAATAATTGTCTATAAATTGTATTTGCCTGCATAAATTATGTCTGTAGGAGTCAAGAAATGATCAATACTAGCATTATAATCCTACACAATTCACTTTTAAACGCTTTAACAAGTGGAAAAGCAGTCGAAATTTGAATTTTCTATAAATTTTTTGATAGTAATATTATGGGCAAAGGCAACGACCATAACTAATTTAACCAAACATTTATTAACAAAGACAGGATGGACAATTAACATAAAATGATGACGCCAACTGCTTCACATGCATCCGTCTCACTTGTAGAGCGGGAGGAACATGAATATTTAACAGTTGTTTTAGTTAACGGGTAATGATGAGACGCGTATAATAAGGTGCGCTATGAGCACGCGCATACAGCAGGAAAGTACGCTTCCAACATAGAATCGAATCTATAAAATATATAAAAAATAAAATAAATAAATAAATAAAAATGGCTTCAAAATGTACATGTAATGGCCAGGAAATAATTGAAACTTAGTATGTCGTTCAGTACAGAGCTCCATTTATAATGTAAGCATTCTAGCTAATCAGACAGTAGATCAAAAATTGATTGACTGTAACTATTGTATTGTAGTAGTAATATAGGGACAACAATTTTTCTTTAATTTGTCATCAGGTTCGAAACTTTAGTGGTCAATTACCGGGCATCAATTAAATTTGCTAGAATATGATGATAAATTCTTATTGTAGTAAACAGACAATCATGGAAACAACATTACAACAGCGAACTTTCTAGTAAGTCAGAAAATGGTTGCAAATTCGATTGGAGTTTAACTTTCTTTGGCTGTAATTTGGCAGAATTTCGCGATAAATTCTGCTTGTAGTAGTTGGCAATTGATTGCAAATGGCATTGTAATTCAGCGTAGAGCTTCAGTTAAAATTGGAATGCTGTAACTAGTTTTAATCTGGTCAGGAAATTTTGGTTGATAATAAATTCTCTTTGCCGGTGATAAATTCAGCTAGCAGTAATCGCGAAATGATTGAATTTTGTATTGATACCTGACACGGAGATTCAGTGTGGTTTTGAGTGCTCTAGCTAGTCAGAATGCAATCTGAATTTTGACTAGCGACTCAAATATTCATCCATCAAATTGCAAAAATAGCAAGATGCTATTGAGTGAATAAAAGTTAAGTAAGATAAGAAGGGTATTTTTAATAAGTTAAAAATATTTATTTAAGTGATAAAAAATATGCTACTAAAAATTATAATAACATAAACTTTTACCAATCCAAATCTCTGTAATTTTCCCAATAATTTACTTTTTTAATTACAATGCCATTCAATTTAACTTTCTTGTTAACATATCTTTAACTCATCTCATCGTCGCCAAAAGCCCATTGTTCGTTCATTCGTTGCAATGGAACTGGGCGTCTGAGGCCTTACCGAATAGCCCATTGTGCAGCTCTAGTGCGACGTAAATAAACTACAACAACAATTGACTCATCTCATGATATTAAAAAAAATTACAATAACAAAAATTACTGTGCGAGCTTAAAGTTCTCAACTAGCACGAAGTAAGAAAGTCAGATTAAAAAGAAGATTCGTCAATTTTTGGTAACCATTATACTACTTTTTTCTATCACAATCTCAACGTTTCGGACAATTTTAAAGCTCTTGTGTTCAAAGCGCATAAGTGATTAGACATATTCCGTTTCAAACGCTGTATAGTATAAAGTATTTGGTGTCAAAAGCTGATATTTTCGGAGTATAATGCGATAAAATACGGGGACTGACTTAGCAATGTTTTTAACTAACCTAAAATGTTTAAGAAAATATGAACTAAATTATAGCAGCTGTATTTGTTAAGAGTTCCTAATGAAATTATAACAATTTATGTACACTGATATATTTTTGCTTAATTATTTTATTTTTAGGATATCTTTCCCTTTCTGTAATTTGTCCCTCGATGATGCGGTTCTCAATAGATCACCGAAATCAAGCATCACTGGCTACAGTCAGTGAGCTGTTGGGTGACTCATTTGATCAGCCTGCGAAGGGACCGAGGGGGTGCCATATCGGCAATCGTCTCCCGTTAAGTGTTCTACATAGCACACTGGTCGACAGTATATAAAAGCGGGAAGCCAGCTCCTCTGCAGACGATCAAAATTGTGATGGCATGTCTTCGGATCATTCTCAGAGATGTTTCTGAAGGTCTGGTTTCTTAGGACAAGCGCCTTATCTGAGCGTCAGCGGGACGTCAACGTCCCGCTGGCGCCAACAAAATACTGGTTTGTTAGCTCAAAACCTGGTTTCTTAGAACTAGCGCCTTATCTGGGCGTCAGCGGAAAGTTGACGTAGAGCTGACGCCAAAAAAATACTTTTTTGTTAGCTCAGCGTGAGCAGTCGGTACAACGTAGACATTATCTCTCATTGCGCATGCGTTAGTAACGTAAACAAATATTTATTTTGAATTTGTATTGATTTTGTTATTGTCGACCAGTGTTTTAGAGAACAAATAATGACTTTGTCCAAGAAAAAACACATTATAGCTGAGCTAAATGAAGAGTGCTATGTTTAATGAAGAAGCTATGTTTAATGTCAAAATCAAAATCTTGGCTGATTTCAATGTGCTGTTGGATGTTGTCCGCCATTGCTTCTGTGGTTAACGTCACGTTGTAATCCAACTGCAGTTGAGTTGGACGGCAATTGTAGTTCAAGATGAGCGTTCGATGACGTATACTATCAAACTCACAAATGGACCAATCAGAGGTTAGCGCTGATTTCCAACTGACGGCGTCCTGTCCTAAGAAACCAGGCCTTGAGATCGCTTGAATAGTCTTTAGCGTAGCTCCAGAGTGACGAGATTGCGGCACTACTGTTACTATTACTACCTGTTAGTAGTATTCTTTCGACCCTTTGTTTACGCAAAAATCACAAAAAAAAAATATATATATAGAAATATGGTGACAGTAACGTCTGCACCAAATTCAAATAAAAAAAAATGATAGGAACTTTATCGTTTCCAGGTGTATGTCACCAATCTGCAACGATCAAAGGGAAACAAATAACTTAAAAACAGAATTCTTCTTCCTATGTTTCCACAAATTAAAGCAGGAGTCGGTATGAGTAGTTGAGTGCACAATTTTCGATTTATAATTAGGCTTTTTTATTATGGTACACGCAGTAATATTCAAGATTATTCAATGACTTCGGGGAACGAACCTGTGACTCACTCTAGTATGGTTTGGGATCTTTCCTTTTTAATTTCTTGATAATTAATTTGCTCTTAATTACTTCCTTCGAGTTCATTTTAAGTTTATATAATGATGCATAACTCTTTAATTGATTTGGGGTTGATTCCAAGTTATTACCAATCTAAAAAAGATAGGTAAGTACTTTACTTAAGTCACATTAGAGCTGTACAATGGGCTATTGGTGACGATCTAGGGAACATCCCTGAGGAGGATTCAAAGACATATCATCACAATTCGTGGGGCCACTTCCTCAATTTAGACATAGATCTGAACGGGAAGGAAATTTTCTTTTCTCCAGAACCCTGTACCCATGGTAATGCTCAGCTATCGATCGCAGGACTTTTGATTACACAGATTTTATGAACACGTATATCTTATGTAGTTGGTAGGTCTTAGCGGAGTCGAGGATCGAACCCCGGATCCTTAGGACCTGAGTTCGATTGTCTAACCGCTGGGCTACCTCGGCCCCAATTAGAAGGTTGTTGCTGTAGTTCATTTACGTCGCACTTGAGCTGCACAATGGGCTATTGGCGACGGTCTGGGAAACATTCCTGAGGATGATCCGAAGACATGTCATCACAATTTTAATCCTCTGCGGAGGGGATGGCACCCCCGCTTCGGAAGTCCAACGACCTGCACGCGAAGTCGAGCACTTTACGGTAGAACAGTTTAACGAGGACTAATACCGCACACCCTCACCACACAACGTTTAGTCCATTGCGGGACACCAACCTACCTAATGTCCCCTTCCAATTGGGTCCCGCAGTGGACTGATCGTTAAGACACGGTTCCCAGTAGATCACCGAAGTCAAGCATCACTGGCTGCTGTCAGTGTGCGGGTGGGTGACCACTAGAATCAGTTTGCGTAGGGAATGAGGGTGTGTGGTATTAGTCCTCGTTAAACTGTTCTACCGTAAAGTGCTCGACTTCGCGTGCAGGTCGTCGGACTACCGAAGCGAGAGTGCCCTCCCCTCTGCAGAGGATCAAAATTGTGATGGCATGCCTTCGGATCATCCTCAGGAATGTTTCCCAGACCGTCGCCAATAGCCCATTGTTCAGCTTTAGTGTGACGTAAATGAGCTACAACAACAACAACAATTGGGAGGTTGGTTCTTTATTTACGTTGCACTAGACCTTCACAATAAGTACTGTAGCTGTTATAGGCAAACGATTGAAGAAGTGCCCAGAAATACTGTGGGAGTTGAACCCGCTACCTCATATTCTTTCTGCAATTGGTTGATCGATTACATTCTAAAGTCGTGGAGTCACCTTCTAGTTTCTGTATTTATATTTTTATTTCATTGTTACTCATACAGATGCAGGACATATTGAAAGATTTTATCAAATTGAAGGATGGATAGCACCCATTGGAAAAGCACATCACAAAGGTACATCCAAGGTTACGGCGAGATTCGAAAGCACTACTTTCACGCTACAGAGTATTTGGTGAAACGGCGAGACCGCTCGGCCAGGGAGGCCCTATGTTTTTGTATAATAGTCTTCAAATTGGTTGGAAATAGGCAGTCGGAAGCATATTCAAAAGATAAATCTATTTTCTTGAACTTAATCTGTAATGAGGTTAGTAAGGATTCCGTTCATACCGTTTAATGTAAACTGGATAAGGCTTAATTGAGGTAAAAAAATATTGTTAATATGATTTATTAAAATAGCTTTGTAATTATGTTCTTGATTTTGTTCTTCTTTTTGTAATTTATTCTTAATTTCTAATTTTGATGTACCGTAAATAATGGCTCTTCCGACATTTTATTTAAAGTAATTTGTATAACTTTTTTTTTTAATATAGAATTATTAATGTTNAAGTAATTTGTATACTTTTTTTTTTAATATAGAATTATTAATGTTTATTGGGGTTTAATATAATGCTGCCTAAAACTTTATAGGGCATTAAGTTATTCTCGTTTTTCAAATGTTGAATTATTATTCATACTATAGTGTTTCATATAAGTATCATATTTATTATTATAGTCATAAAAATGAATTGTGATCAAACTGGAATACAATCTGGAATTTTTATTAAATTGAAACATCATCTGAAATTGATATTAAACTGGGAATCAATCGCATGATTCAAAAATTCATTCATTTCAAATCGTTTTGTACTGAAAACAGTTTAAAAGGGTGATAAAATTGATTGAACTTCTCAACGTAAATTGAACACATAAACTTAGGAGTTCGGAAGGAAAAGCGAATTTTTTATTGATAATAGTCATTACAATATGTTTTTTGTGGATAATTTTTGATTTACGAAATTGGAAATATACATAACAAAAGGACAAAATACAGATTTCAATGTTTGAATCCTAAAAAAATTTGAGAATTAATTTCACGTGTGAAAAGTTATGCAACTATCTTTGATTTTAAAAAAATTATGTAATACCAAAACATGTTAGAGGGAAAAGAAAACACAATTAAATGCTGAACGTTACACATTCGTAAATAATTTTTTCTTCAATATGAATTTCTTGCATTAAATTAAAAGGCTGAAACTGATACTGGCAGAAAAAAAGCGTGAACGAACTCTTTTAGGTGTCTTAAATGTTGTCTAAAATAGTGATCTGAAAGTTTTTTTTCTAGAATTTTATCACCATTCAATTACAATAAAAGTAGCAGTACCTAAGACTTTGAAAATTGTTACATTGTTAATTAGTTTAACAATAATTTTATACTAAAATTGAAAAGCTTTACGTTTCGAACGATTTTAATGAATTTCAATATAACAACGAATAATTATTTTAGTACTTAATATTCCTACGAGTACTATTTTAGTACTTAAAATTTAATATTGTAGTACTTATAATTTAATAATTCGGTGTTAATATCAAAATATTTGACTGCAAATATTTCAGTTTTAATTTGCATAATAAAGTTTTAATTATTATGAAAGAAAATATTTTAACCTTGGTGGTAAGTATACTTCTCACAAATTTCATGAATTTTTAAATGTCAGTGAAAAGCTATTTCCACTAATGATTTTGCAAATTGCTGATTACTTTAGAAAATACTAAAAAATACCAATGAAGGGTAGGTAGGTACTTTATTTACGTTGCACTAGAGCTGCATAATGGGCTATTGGCGACGGTCTGGGAAACATCCCTGACGATAATGCGAAGAGATGGTATCGCAATTTTGATCCTCTGTAGAGGGTGTAGCTCCACTGCGTAGATAGCCCGACGATCTGAGCGTGAAGTCGAGCACTTTGCGATAGAACAGTTCAGCGAGGACCGATACCGTTCACCCTCGGTCCCTACGCAGGCGGATCAAAGTGATCACCAGCCCGATTAATTCACTTGTAATTATAAACACGAAGTTTATAAAAAAGGTTACTTATAAGCACATAAGTTTGAATTTATAGCAAGTACTTAAAGTAGGTAAAAGTTTGGAAATTCTTCCAACCATCGCACCGAAAAAATGGTCTTAAAAAAGAAGTCTAAATGTATTTCTTTTTATAAATCTTAATTCCGAAAATCCTTTAACTTATCATTACTAGAAAAAAGGCCCTATAAAAGGTTAAAAAAATGGAATTTTTCTTAAGTATAATTGTCTTAATTTTAAGTTCCCTTCAAATAATCTTAAGAAAATAGCTACTTTTATTCAAGAAATTGCAAATTTTTTTACGAGTGGAGAATTGTTTTTGAAAACACATACATTTGTATTTTTCTCTTAAATTCATGTATGAACTAGATCTACAATATATTGTTAACCTTGATCGCCAAGAAAACGCCTTTAGCTGTTAAACATTCATGATATTTTAATATGATTAACACAATTAGGCCAGCAATTCAATCGAATTGTCAACATCCGGATGAAATGCGGGCGAACCTCCCATCTTAAAATAAAACGTAATTTACCTAGATTTTAAATATGCGTCATATATTTGTTGTATTAGTGTTCATAGAAAATGTACATCATACTCTAAATTAGAATTTTTTTTTAAGTACAACACACAGAACAGAAATGGAAATTAAAATTTGCCATTATTTTTTTTAATTCTTTAATAGTTTCTTTATTTCTTCCCAATTTTTGCGGGTTTACGACTACTGATGTTCAACTCGTAGCCTTGTAAATTTGAGCCCAATCCAGAAAACAAGTGAACTCCTGGATCAAGTATTTGGAGAAATTTGCTTTTTGTGGAGGACTTTTTGATGGAACTAACTCTGATTTGCATTACATGGACATGAAAACCACGAAAACCTCCGACGGGTAGCCTGATCGCAAGGGGACTCTAACCTATGATCCGCTTACCACTTGGATATTTTACGTGGTCGGTGCGAGCCGAGTGCAGAATCCGTATCGACCAGCCATCGCTGGGATTCGAACCCGGCGCACCTCTTGAGAAGGAGAAAGCTCTATCCCCAGAGCCACTACTGCTCTTTTCTTAATTTTTGATAAGAATCTCGGAAGGTTTATCGTAATTTGAAAAGTGTTTCAGAAGAAGTGTCGGACATTTTATATTTTGTTTTATAACCGGCGTTGAAAAGCGGACTCAATTCCGAGTTGACAACTATTAAAGTTGAACTCCATATCCCTGTAATTTTGAACCCAACTCAAAACAAAAGTAAACTTTTCGATCAAGTATTGGGATAAAATGACTTTTGAGGAGGACTTTTTGGATGCAACTAACTCATATTTTCGTTACATGGAGAGGAAAATTACGAAAATTTCTCACGGTTAGTCAGACAACAAGGGGAATCATGATCCGTCTATTGCTGAGAATATTATACTTCAACACCGTAGTCGATGCGAGGGTGGAGGACATTTCGTATCAACTAGTGCATCGTTGGAATTCGAACCTGGTTCACCTCAGTGGGAGGTGAAAATTCTATCCTCTGAGCCAAAATGCCTTACGTTGTTTTTACTAATAATTTTTTTATCATTTAAAATTTTAAATTTTTTAATAAGTGGCCACTTTTAAAAATGATCCAAATGACACATCGGTTCGTAGCAAAATTTCCTAATCTTACCCTATATTGGCAGGAATATTTTAAGTATGATTTTTAATTAGTGCTGATGATATTTTAGGACACAAAAACGTACTATTTCTGAATGAACATAAATCTTTTCGACGTACTCTGTTTTTCCCTACAAAATGCAGCACTCTATAATAGTGGAAAGGACACTTTCAGTTTTGAACATTTTTTTAAGTTTCTCACGAAATACTTGAAAGATTATTTTGTAACTTTAGAGATGTTTAATTCATGCAATTTTTCATACTTAGCAATAAAATTTAAAGCTTTCAGAGGTTTAGGAGACCTATGAAAGAAAACAAGTATTTTTGAACCCCCTATGCCAGAAAATCAAACAATAAACTTGTAACTTGTATCGATTACTTTAGTTGTTATTCTTAATAACTACATTAAGTTTCGTAAACCTGGAGTATATATTTATGGAGATATGGACATTTTTATAAAAAAAATTACTTTTTTTGCCTTACGTTTTTCCGTTATTACTTTACAGATATTCAACGGAATTAAAAATTTTTTGGAGCAATTTAAGATCAATTACAAAATTGTCGACTTAGAAATATTCGTTAAAAACTGCGCAATTTATGAGTATTTAAGCTAGTTCTTTTATACTGAGAAAGCATTGAAAAAAATTTATAATTTTTTTCATAATTTTGTAGTGAATCGTATATGGCAACTAATAAAAAAAATAACTTGAATATCTTGAAAATTAAAAAGTTTTAAGCAATTTTCTAAGCAGTTTCTGTACTTTTCAAAAGAAAGCTCGAAATGATCAGGCTTTTTTCACAAATTTTATTTTGTATCACGAGACAAAATTTAATGACAAATGATATTACCTTAGAATAACCATCCGGAAACTAAACTTTGATGATTTAGAGAAAGAAAACAAACAAAAAGAAACATACTTTTCTGGGGAGTGGTCCTCCACAATGCCGGTTTCATTTTTAATAAATCTTGTTTAATAGTACAAGGTGAAATGTGTGGATAACCCATTATAGTTTTGAGCTTGTTTTTAAAAAATTACGAAACTACTTAGAAAATTGATTGAAACTCTTTAAATTTTTAAGATATTCAAATAAAGCTTTTATCATTAGTTGTCAAATATGATTTCCTAAAAAATTAAAAAACTTTTATAAAAGTTTTCTGTGTGCAGTATAAAAGAACTAGCTTAAATACTCATATCTTAAACAGTTTTTAGCGAATTTTTTTAAAATTTTAAATTAACAATTTTATAATTAATTTTAAATTTTTCCAAAATTTTTACTTAATTCCGTTGAATATTTATGAAGTTATAGCAAAAATACGTAAGGCGAAATTTTTTTATTTATTTATAAAAATGTCCAAATCTTCATAAATATTTACTTTAGGTTTACGAACTTTATGCAATTATTAAAAGTAACATTTAAAGTAATTGATACAAGTTTTTTGCCTGATTTTCGGCCATAGGTGTTCAAAGCTACTTGTTTTCTTTTGTAATTTGTTGCAGGTCTTCCAAACCTCTGCAAGGTTTAAATCTTATTACTAAGCATGAAAAATTACATGAACTAAACACCTCTAAAGTTACAAAATAATCCTTAATGTATTTCTGGAGAAATTTAAAAAACTGTCAAAGACTGAAAGTATATCTTCCATTATGTAGGGTAGTGTATGCTTGGTAACTGCAATCTAGCAAATACAGTCTCAGGTAGATTAGTTAACAGAGCATTATTCAAAAAATTGAGCTTCTAAAAACTAATTTTGCTTTTTGTGTATTGCTTAATATCGCTAGAACTATTTAAATTCCCTTTCACACGTTAATAAAATTCGTTTGCCCAAAGATAATTTTGTACAAGAAATAATTGTTTAAAATTACTTATTTATTATTTAAAGTTCAATAACAGAAACTATTTTTAAACTTCGATATGCATACATTTTTACATTATTTTAAACAATGTCTTTTTAAATGACAAAATGTGTCATTTAGAAATTGATTTATTAATTTGTGAGCAAATATATCTGAAAATGGTCATATTTTGAAATTTTCATTTCTCGAATGCTATTTATCCCATTTCGTCCAAATTTTGAATCTTTTCATTAAGCACTGCATAATTTACAATCTTCTAAATATTTCACTGCCTTACAGTATCTATCATTAATAAATTTAATAACAAAATATTAAAGAAAATATTTTTGCGTGGGCTTTACTTTGGATAAAAGAGTTTTATAATTGTGTGTAAAGTTCTTTAGACTCTCTTAAATATCTCCAGAGATACGATGAAATAGTTAAATTTAAAATTAACATTAAGAAGAGCCAAATTGAACTCTCTTATTTTTCAGACTGTAGCTAAACCTCCTGTAGTACCTAACCTGAGCTGAACCTAAACCTCCTTAAAATAGCTATTGATCCTCCCGGAAAATAGCTATTGATCTTCAAAAATTTGTGTCTGACGGAAAAAAGTATCTTTAGTCAGAGCAAGTTGGTGTTTTATCTAATTTCGTAACAAAAATATCACTTCTGCTAGTTATCTATCATGCTTAGGGCCCATAGAGAGATAGAAAAGCCATCAGATCGGTCTTTGACCCTTAAATCCCTTGAAATTCTTGTATATTTAGTTTGCATCTTAGTATATAAAAATCCGGTGATTTGATTAAAAAAAAAGTATTTGTAGGTTGTTCTGTTTTTATTTTTCTCTTTTCTTTTTCCATTTTTCGCAGGGGTGCAGTTTGAAATAAGAATTTAAGGATTCTTTTCAAGAGAAATTTTTTAAAAAAAAGTTAAAATATTTATATGCATCATAAGTTTTTACTTCTAAAGTTATATTTTTGTTTTCTAATAATTCATGCTAGATTTTCTTAATGTGAAAAGATATTGTTGTTGTAGTTAAAACCAGAAACTCTCCACTATGCAGTTTAGAATGAATTTCTTTCTTCCTATTCGACCACTAAATCGATCTTCAATGTTTTAGATGCTAAGTTAAACATCGAAAAATGCAGTTATCATCGAGACTCCTGTACTTCATCTTAAGTAAGTTATAATAAATGCCTCTTTTTTAACAAAACTGTTAGTTGATGTATTGCTGTTCACTCATGTATATAATTCATTTAAATTGACCTGGCACAACAACTGCAGCAAAAATTTTCTTAGATCAGTTTCTTAAATCTTCTGTTTAGGATGAGTGAAAAGTGACAAAAACACTGCTCCACTCTTAACTTCAAATAAGAACTTTAACTTTTTATAGTATTGTTGTTTATCATTCAGTGTTAATCAAAGAGATTTATGGAAAAATGTTTTTTGATATTTTTAAAGAATCTTTTTTTGAAAAAAAGCATTAAAATGTATAGAAACATCAGGAAGCTGTTTACGAAATACATTTAATCGTTGAAAACCATTTTTATCTAAATACTTAAAAAAATTGATTTTCTGTACTTTGCAGCCAACAATAATTTATTTTTGAACCCGAAAATTTGAGTGCTTCCAAATTGTTTTTAGCCTTTCTTAAAAAAGAAAAAATTAAGCTCGTCAATATCCATTATTTTTATTTACCCACATTTTTACAAAACTTTATACTATGTAATATTGAATGAAAAATCCAAATTTTGCTAGAAATTAGTTTACGTAACAGAGTTAAAAAAAAAACGAATTTTTATTTTAAGATTTACGTGACATAATTGAAGAAAGGTAAAAATTACATAAATTAAATAAGCGGAGTTGAAGATTTGAAAATTTTGTTTATATAATAGTTAAATAATTGTTCTAAATAATTATAAAAAATTAATTTTCTGCCTTAAACTATATTTTGTGAAATGTATTACCCATTGGCCAAATGGGTGTTTTGAGTTTGATGGCTTGCGCACCTTATTTGGACGTCATCACACTTTTGCACTGTGTTCAAGAGTTATAGTAAACAGTGCGCATGCGTCACCATTGCATGCGTTATGGCGACCGCTGCTGTTTGATAATTTATTTAGAATTATTTTTTTACTTTTAATTTTGTTATGCATTAAGTTGGGGAGTTTATTTTTGAGATATGGGACCAGAGAGATCTCATAAATACTTATTGAGTTGTGAATAAAAGAGAATTTCATCATTTGAACGACGATGCATTTTTGTTTTTATGGTTTTAATTAAGAATCAGAAATTCTAATCCACAGTTCAAACTGGATCGTTTTCAATACTAATTCAGGTGAATATCACAAATAAAGAGAGTAAAAAAAAAAAAAATTAGACTACAACTATTTAGCCAATAGGTAACCTGTGATAGCCTTTTGGTGATCAAATTTTTTTTATTGATTTTGAATTTTTTAAAAAAAAATTATTATTGTTATTGTGGGCAAAGCGCTTATTTTTTAAAAATTCTACATTACGGGCTTAACGATAGTTTGTTCAAAAAAATCCAATTATGAGAAAAAAAATCTTTTTCTTTTAAATTTTTAATTTTGTGAACTATACATAAACTTTCTTATAATCAAGCATAATTATTTCATTTTTATAGGAATAAAAATTAATGGTTATTTTTATCCTTTCTTTAGGTTTGCTACATTTTCAATTAACTGTAAGTATTATTTATGATTAACATATTTGACATTTTTGTGAAATTTATTTTTGAAAAGTGTTTATCTTAAGGTTTTTAATACGTCTATAGAATTTTAGTGTTGAGGTTTTTCATTCAATATTTTTTCACCATGTGTAAAATTATCGAGACCGTTGCATTTCAAGAATATGATTTTTTTCCGAAGTTTGTTTCATACCGTACGCAGTTTTTCATTGTTCTATAAAATTTAATCGAAGTTTAAATAGTTTTAATAATGAAAATTTATTGTACCTGTTACGAAATGCATTTAAATAAAAGTTTCAATAAATTTTCGATGTTATTTATGATACATATTTGCGAGATGATTCAAAACAGAGGTTTTTAACTTCGAGAGAAGGTAAAATCGAATCATAAAGATTGAGAATTGCATACCAACCCATAGACTGATGTGTCCACGCATACCGCTAGACCCTCTTTTCCTGCAATGAACTGGCTGCTCAAGAGCATTTGAACCGATGCTTATATCCATCTTCATTCTCTTCATTTTTATTTTAGTTTCATATTTCTTAATTATTGTTTGAATTGCACTCAAGTAGACCCAAATTAAAATGCTTATCAAAGATTATTCATTTGGCGATTGATTAGCAAAGCTGGACGAATTGTTCGCCAAGTCAATAAATCATATTAGAATAGTTATTTGTTGGAAGGTTCCGATAAAAATTTAAAAAAAAAACAGTTACAGTCATGACGATTTAGTTAAATCAATGTAACGGTTCAAATGTGCATAAAAGGCCAGTCCATTATTACGAAGCACCCCTAATGACGTATGAATTTTGCCGTTAGTTGCTATATTATTCTCGATTCTTAAGATATGCCTTACTCTCTCCAAGAATCATCAGGTATATTTAATAATAATAATAGTTCATCTATATTTCTGAACCCAAGAACTAAACATATGTCTGGCAGTTGTAAAGAACGCATTTGATTTAGAGTAATTAATTTTTAAAAATAATACTGCTTAAAAAATCTTTTGCTTGACATATTTAGATTATAATTAGGTTATTATAGGTAAGGCATAAATAAGTTATGAAAAAGATGGTTCTACGCATAGCACAATATCCGAACTTGAAATTTCTAGAAGCATAAAATATGAACTTTTAATGAAGTTTGTAGTTATTATATGCACTCAAATACTTTTGAGATATAAAGCAAAAAGAAATTAAAATTCTTCTGATTATTTTAAAAACTTAAGGCCGCCAATCGTGGTCATCGTGGTCAACACAAAAAGAGCTAGTGTTTATAAACATTTGATGATATTTCTATAGTTAATTGGTGAATGTTGTATAAGTAATAAAAACTTCTGTGCGTGATTATTATCAAGAAAAAAATTAATAGAATTTTAATATATTTTAAAGATGGTCTTTTAATTAGCTGATTAGATTGACGCAAGCATATTGTCGAAGAACTAATAAAATTTTACTTTCGGATACAAGTTTTTAATGTTGATAATATTTTATATTCTTTGGGATAGCGATTTCAAGTTATATAAATCTATATTTTTACTCGTAAAAGAATTCAAATGTATCTTGAAAATATGAGAAAAAGTTACATATTTTTCTATTGAAATGATAACGAAGCAGTTCGAAGATGTGAACAAATTTGCATAACATATATTTTTTTTATAAATATTCATTTCTTTACTATTTTACGACAAGGTGTAAGAATGAACTTATAGAAGAGCTAATTACGAGTAAAATTTAGGAAGATATGGAAATTCACTGGGCCATCATTGCTCAGTGGTTAACGCCCTCAGCTGTCATAGTGGAGTAATAAGGTTCGGTCCCCGATGTCGAATTAAAACTCACCCAGCTACAGATCAGTGAGTATCAGCTTATCAGTGAAGGTAAATGCAGAGGTGCACAATGCAATTGCTTATGAAATTGTGAAGCTATGATCTCCATAATCCTTCAGTCCCGTTATCAGAAGTTCAGAAATAACTCATTTACCAATGACGAAGGCTAAATTTTTTCTGTATTTGCTCAATTGTTCTAAATACATGTTGTCCAAACTTACTTTTAGCATGTGCGAACAGTTTATATAAAAGTATGCAGTAGAAATTCATGAAAATAAGTAGTGGCATAGTGGGAAAAATATCTATCAAAGCAAAACAACTCATCTGCCAGTCACGTTTTCTTATAACTTGACCTCTGAAATCCCCAGACTTTGATCCTTGCATTGAACGAAGGGCGAGAAATAGATTAACGTGATCCCGTAACTTCATAATATTTTTTCATACAACACTCATTTCCTCATATTATTCGCAGGTATACGTTGCTTTCAACGATTGATCATGCAAACTTGCATTTTTAGATGGTAGCAGACAATGCTCATCATATGAATCATGGTTTGTAAACAAGAGAATGTTAAATTTTATAGGTTCTTGTTATAGTCTGTAAAAGATCTTATATACCATTTAGAGGTGGTCTCTGGAAATATTTTTTGCGAGTTTAAGTTCCTATTATTTATATCATTTTGATATTACCCTGTTTTCACGAAATCCTGATGTGTGATTTTGATATAGCCTGTTCATAATTAAAAAAAAATCTGATTATGGACACTCAGTGTCCATAATCACGTATAAGATTATATTCTAATTTAAAATTTTGCGATTAAAGATATATTTTTTTTGAACACACAGGTTCTAGCAAAAGTGCGTGGCATTCCGGGTGTGGATTATCCTAATTATTCTTCTATACCCAAAACTTCTTTTAAATGCCCAGATTTTAAGCCAGGATTTTACGCGGATTTAGAAACAAGGTGTCAGGTTAGTAAAGTAAATCTTCTCTTTTATGAAGACTGCTACTGAATAAAATAACGCAATAAAAATTTATTACTTTTAGGTTTTCCATTACTGCTACGAGCATCGAAAAGAGAGCTTTTTGTGCCAGGAAGGTACGATATTTAACGAAGCAATTAAATCTTGTGATTACTGGTACAGCTCAGAATGTGATTCCACACAAACTTTGTATGAAGCTACAGAAAGAAAATTGAAACAGAGTCCATACAATGATGTTCCACTAGTACCGGTTAATGCTGAAACTAACAATATCTTTGACAAAATGGCCGCACTTTATGAACCAAAGAAGCATACTGAAAACTTTATGCTCAAAGAGCAAGAAGAAAAAGCTGGTAATAACTATTTTGAAGATTTAAGCGATAATGGCAACGAAAACTATGAAACTGATTCTACTTATCCCCTTCCTGCACCAGAGATACTTTTGAATGAGATGACAGAAAACAGCCTAACGGAAGATAATATTAGTGATTTCGTTAAATACGAACATGATTCAGTAGAAGGAGATGGTGTCGATATCAGATTTCACGACAATTCTGTTCAAATTTTTCCATATAATAATAATGAAGTTTATATAAGCAGCATTGGGTCTCTCAGTGAAACTGAGTCTAGTTATCTGAACCAAGACACCACGACTGATAAAAAGAACAAGTATGAAAGATACAATACTGAAGAGCAGAATAAATTATTCACTACCCATTATCCTCAACCCTTAGATAACATTAACTTTTCTGATCATGAATCATCTGGAAGTTTGTTGATCAAACGCTTATCAGACAATTCAGATGTGCCAAAGAAAAGGTTTCGTCGAAAACCAACATACGTAGTTTTACAAACTCAAGAATCAGATGAATCCACTTCAAAAAGCACTGCATATGGCGTGGAACAAAATCAAGCAATCAAAGATGTATATGGTGATAAATCGAATGCATACCACCACACTTTTCTTACAGAGTCTCCTACACCAGGTATCAAAGAGACTGAAACCAAATTGAAAGAAGATTTAGTTCAGAAGTCTGATAGAAAATTTAGAAGAAATAGGAAAACTCTTCAGACGTTTACAGATCAATCGGAAAATCTCCAAAATGAAGCAAAATTTGCGGAAGAATATCAACCAACCAAAGATATATACATTGATGCAGTGACTGTATACCAATCTTCACACAAAGAGTCAACTCTTACACACTTTCCAGAGGCTGGGAAAAATTCTGAGAATATTAAGATGTCCGTCAAGAAACCTAGACAAAATAGGAAAAAAATTCATATGTTAGTTGACGAACCGGATGAAGAAAATGATGAAACAAAAGAACTTGTTAAAGAATATGAAACTATAAAAAATGTATACTCTGATAAAGAAAATGCATATCACTCTTTGCAAACAAATACAGACTCGTTTATATTGGATAAAGTAACTGAAAACAAACCTGAGGTTTTCAATATATCTGCTGGAAAACCAATTCTAAATAAAACCCTTGGAATGTACATCGGTGAATCTAAAAAAACCAACGCCGAATTAACGGAATCAACTAAATTAAATCAAGAATTTATAATGCCTGCAAATATAATGAGCCCTTCCTTCGAAACTGACGAGGAACCTGTAATTTTAGTGTCAAATGATACAACTATTTCAGAAGCTCATACTTTCATAACACAACCGGCAATAACTCAAGCCGCAATATCAATTACACCAATAGCACCAGATTCAATTACTATACTTAAACTTATAGAAAATGAACTAGAAGACGCAGATGTTATAATGAAAAATTTCTCACATGTAGAAGAACCTCATATTAGTTCTCATGAGCTGAAAACTTCTGAAACAGATGTTATGAACAAGGAACCTCATATTCATGAAAGTAATCCAGCAAGTGTTTTTGAAAAGGTTACGCAAAACAATCAGAATTTTATTCCTCTTTTATTAAATATGAATTCGAAAATTGAAGATCAGACATATTCGGAACAAGACACGAACCTTGCTAGTAATAAAAATATGCATTCTGAAGTTCAAGATAATGTATATTTGGAAGAAGAAATAAATTCTGATACTATAAGTATGAATTCTGCAGATGAAGATTTGGTGTATTCAGAACAAGACATGAATCTTGATGATAATAAAAATATGCATTCTGAAGTTGAAGATAATGTATATTTGGAAGAAGAAATAAATTCTGATACTATAAGTATGAATTCTGCAGATGAAGATTTGATATACTCAGAACAAGAAATAAGTTCTGATAATACTTTATATGTCGATTCTGCAGCTGATACGGCATATTCAGAACAAGAGACTTATCCTCATCATATTGTAAATATGGACTCAGAATTTGAAGAGTTGGAACATTCAGGTGAAGAGATGAATCTTGGTGATATTGTAACTCACGTGATAGATGACCAGTCTCATGCAATTAGCTACGAAATTTTGAAATCAGGTGAGCAAGCTGATCAGTACGAGGGTCAGAATAATTACGGAAATGGAGAATATGGATTTTCAGGAGCATATGATATGTTTTCTCAAACTATAGATTCAGACTCCAATAATTACGTTTTGATTAGCACCTTATCCCCAATAGCAATTACAGATGAGTCATCAACAGCTGATTTTCTGGATGAAGATAACAATAAACACAACGTAATATATGAAAATTCTGATTCGTTTGAAGATGAACAAATGCATTATGTTAATAACTTAAAAGCAATGTATCCAGAACATGAAGGATTAATGTCTGTTGATGAAGAAATAAATTCAGATATGAACGCCGCGATTTCTGATTTAATTAATGAAGATGAAACAAAATCTTTCGCTGATAAAACTGAAGACTTTGATTCAAACGAATTTCATGAAATTTCGAATAATGTAATTAGCACAGAAAGCACTTCATTTAGAGAAGATGTTTATTCTGATGATGTAGAAAATGCTGAATTATATGGTTTAGAAAAAGGTTTGGATTTGAACACGAAGGAGAACGTACCATTGCAAGAAGAAACAGGACATTATAAAGAACAACAGCATTTCTTTGATTTTGAATCATCTACAACATCGGAAAGCATTCCGAAAAACATTATGGAAATTTCAAATCGAACAAATAGCTTTTATAATGAATCATTCGAAAGCTCTATAGTTGTGAAAGATTCAAAATACGAAAATGAGGTTGAAAGGGTGCACATTGCAAAGACCCCGGAAGAACTGTTTAAGACTTCAACAGTTGTAGATCATTTAAATAATACATATGCAGATAAAAACTCACCATTTTCAAAAATTTCTGAAAAATCATTTGGAAGCTCTACATTTGTAGAAGGTTCGAGAGATAATAAAACATATGAATATGGAACAAATGCAAAAAATTCTGAAGAATCATTGGAGAATTTTTATATTATAGAAGATTTAAAAGACATTAATAAAGATGAAAATGCGCCATTTGCAAAAAGTACTGATACAGATTCAACAGAAGCCGAATTTTTTCACATTTATCCGTCTGCAGACGATCAGCTCCCATCTAAAAGTTTTGATGAACAAGATGTCACTACTTTACTTACAAAAACAAGAAAAGGTACTCTTTTGGAAACAAATCTGCAAAATGAGGCGGAGATATCAGATAATTTAAACAGCCATCTAACTGAAAATGAAAATGGAGCTTTTAATGAATTGATATTAAATAAGTTTAAAATTAATCAAGCAAACACCATGAAAGCTACAAGCGGATTTGTTGAAGAGTCACAGGGCGAAGAAGAAAAACCAATTGATTCAGTGTTCCATTCAAGTTCTATGCCACTACCAGCTAACATTTTTGAACAAGGTCTGTACAAGCAGAATTTGCTACAGGATGAAAACTATCAAATCAACAGAGACAAAATTTATCCATCTACATTTTATAAAGAGCTTGATGAATCACAGGAAAAACCTAAAAATGAGAAGTCTGCAGTTGTTAATACATCACATAATAAAAAATATAGAAGCTTGAATTCTAATTTTCCTCTTGATGAAATGAATTTAGAAAATGTAGACGATTTATCTTCAAAATATCGTGAACCTTCGTTACTTTCACTTTTCGAACCTTCACAGACTGTCAAGAAGCTTCTTCCCATAGACTTTTTTGGTTTAAAAAGTAGTAGCATTTTCTCTCCGCCTGTAGGAAAAATATCAAAACCAATTGAAGTAAAGAAATTGGTTGCGTTCGGAAAAAACTTACTTGCATTTAAAAGAGCTAAGCTCAATGATTTTAAATTAATGTTTGATTCATTTATGAACGAGATTTAAAAATGTAAATGTTGTTTTTAATATTTTAAATAAATGTTTATTTATTATCTCAACTTTTTTACTTAACAAATCTATTATAAGTAACAAATACTCAATACAAGGTATAAAATGTTCATGTAAATGATAATCACCACACATATTTATTTTTATAATCTTTGTCAAAAATAAAATCAAAGAAGTATGCATTTCAGGAGTTTCAAATTATTATAAGTGAGCAATATGCAAAAATTATATCAAGTCACAATTGAAGAAAGTGGGACTTAGCTTAATTCACAGGTATAAAGGATATTATAAAATATATTATAAAGGATATTATAAAGGATATATCCCTTATATTAGTACCTGGCTTAATCGCCAGCGGCAGGAACTAATATCTAATTTTATATCGAGGGTCAGAGGAAAGAGTGGAGAGTATAAAGGTGACTATTGGAAAAACCACTAAATTTTATCATGTAATGAAACTGGTTTTGATATTCTTCCATCTCTCCCTTTTCATTAGTAATTTGACAGAGTATGACAGCAGTTTAATTTCTCTCGTGCTTAAATATTAATTTGCAATCTTCAATGTGGGCATATTTTTTAACTTCATTTTTGACGTGAAATCTGAAAATATAAAGTGCGAGGCATCGTGTAGATCAAGCAAAATTATTATTTAAGATCTGATATTAATAATTGGATTTTTGATTGAATTTTAAATATTCGTTTTTGATTTCAGCAACATTGGTCAACAAAAATTGTTCCCAAAGTCCCAAGAATTTCCAAATATGATTGCGGTAATGTTTGCGCAAGGAATTTCTTCTTTTTGTTTTTTTTTTTTTTTTTTAAAAAAAAAAAAAAAAAAAGATAGTGTGTTTAAAGTTTTTATATAATTTATAACGCAATTTTTAATAAAATAGTTTCTTTAAAAAAACAATTAGCATAAAGTATTACAAAAGTTTAATTTATTTAAAAATAGTTTAAATTTATTTATTTGCGATATAAAAAAATTGCTTGAAGCTAATTGTTTCATATCAACTTTGTCTAAATTGTTGAGAAAAATATTAGGACGTTACTTAAATTAGGCTGCGAATAGATCCTCACAAATCTAAACTTAAATAAATTGAAATGAGGTATAGCGCAACGTAGAAATTTCAACTAATCTTTTTGGCATAGTACTTTGAAATTAAAAATGTGAGAAGGATATAATAACGCGTAAAAGTCCAAAAGGCATATTTACGTATGAAATAAGTTTTTCAAAACCTACCAATCAACAAGGGTAACTGCTACGTTAATCTTAAAATTGCTTTCCTCAACCTCGATCTCAACCCTGGAACCCTGTCTCAAAATTATTAGCGTATTCTGAAAGATGATAATTCTCATATTTGGTTATTTTGTATCTATATAAAATTTGCAGTAACTATAGTAAGCAATTTTTTTAGTAACAGTAGCTATGCAACCAATGGTTTTATTAAAAATTAATAGTTTTGTTACCAACTTTCCTGATAAATATGTAAATATAGTTTTCACTTCACTCATATTAATTCGAAAGCATGCTAATTTGCATTGAAAAAAATTCAAGCTTTAAACATTTTGCACTCAGTAAATTTAGTTCAACTTTTGCATGGATTTTCATTGGTATTGAACTGATTGTTGACACTGAAAGGTTTGGTTATAACTCCAAGTTGGCAAAAACTTTTGACGCATAAATTTTCATTGTCTGCAACATAACCAAAATAAATTCTTTTGAATTGATATAGATATGTTCACATTATTTTGTTTAACTCGAGTAGTCAATTAACTAAAACTTGACATAGTGAAGTGTTCGATTTTTTTAAAATTTTTTTAAACAATTTGAAAAGACAATTTAAATATTTAAAAATTTACGTATGTAGGGCCACAAGATTTGCTAAGGTTTTGCACTTACTAGGGTCATTTTACGGTGTTACAGAGCAATTTCTTCTAGAGAGGATTCGCTGCTTAACAACCACGAGAAATATTAAAAAAAAAAAAAAAAAGAAGAAGAAAAAGAAAACACACACAAAGAAAGAAAAATCAAGTAAAGAAACATAGAAGTTGAAAATATTTAACAACAAGCATCATTTAATTATTTCCCTTTTTTTCTCAGACTCATAAAAGTATATATATATATTAAAAATCATTAAAATTTGAGTAGCGGGAAAAGTGATACAGTGCAAGTGCTGAAGTTGCCGAATTCCACTTTCTGTTCTCACGAATCTTTAACTTTCTTAGAAAGAAAATTGGATTAGATTTCTTGTTAGAATCTGAGAATATTTGCAATCTAAACACTAAAGGACAAACATTTCTTAAAAGTTATATAAATTCAGTATGTTAAGGGGTGAATTCTTGGACTCAGTGATCATCTCAAAAATGCTTCAAACTCTTCAACACGTTGAAAGATCGCTCATATGATCTAGTGTGTCACAAAACGGATGTTGGTAGCCGACATTTCCTCTTTCTGTAACATTTTCGACACCCTCAATGCAAAATAAAACGTCAACACAGGAAATGGATTAAAAACCTTACCTTTTACCTACAACTCCTACTAAAAAGATTTTTTTTATTATATTTTTATGATGATGTATGTTTCCTTTTTTGAATATCAACCATCTTAGAACTATCTTTTTTGGTAGGAAAGAAATATAAATTTAGGCTGTATTCCACATATTTTTTTCAAGATATATGCGCTAACTTTTTTTTCTTACATAATTCATAAAACTTTTTTTTTCTTTCAAATTTCGCTTAAAAAAAAAAATTCGTTTTTTTTTTTTTTTAACTAAACGCATACCGAAAGTCATTTATAGGCAATGACTTATTTAATATTACTAATAATGTTTAAAAATTTTTTTACTTAAAATGATTTTATGGCAATAGTTTCGAGAGGGTTATAAATTTAAAAGGTTAGGTAATTATTCAGTTAAGAAAATTATTTCATCAAGATAATTTTACAGCAATAGTTTGAAAAATATTAAGAACTTAAAATTTGAATTAAGGCTAAAAACTCCCTAGTTTACAGAAAATTTTGCCAAAAATAATTTTATATTAATATCTTGGAATAGGATAAGAAAATGTTTCTTTTATAGAGAATTTCCTTTGAAATAGTTTTATAGTAGTAGTTTGTAAGTAATAAAAAATACGAAAGCTAATCTGAGAAGGATTTTTTTTTTATAGGAAATGAATGTAAAGAAAAATATCGAGACTGGTATACGCGATTATTAAAAGAAACATATAAAATTAATTCAAAAAGTAAAATTTTTCTGTACGTTATATTAAGAGGAATTATATATTTTAGAAGTAATTTAAAGTTTTTTATTTCAAATTGTAAACTACAGGTAAATTAAGATATAATTTGCGTACATTATCTTGTTGAGTCAAAAGCTACAAATAACTTGTAAATTGTAAATGTTTCAGGCTGACTTTTTAAAAACATTTTATATCCAATGGTATATATTTTGCGATGCAAGATTTCAAATTTCTTGCAATGATTAAAACTTAAGCTATGTTTCCATAAGGGAAAAAAAAGAATGCTTGTATTCTTTTTTTTTGAATAACAGAAACTCGTTATTCGATTGTTATAATTGCTCATATTTAGTGTGAGGCACCGTGATGATTCTTGCAGGAATGATTCTTGAAAATATTTTATAAATCGAGGTACAAATTTATGAAATGGATTTAACTGTTTCTAGCAATGTTAAATTGTCATGGAACAAGTGCCATTGGATATGGTATCTACACTGTTCTTTCCATAAGACTACACTGTTAAAAGTTCGGGATCAAATCAAGGTATAAAGTACTTTGGGTGTATCTTCCGTAAAATATATTTTTACCGTAAAAATACCATACCGTAATTTTTACAGTAATATTTTTTAATTTGATTCCGTAATTTTACGGCAATTATTGCTGTAAAAATTAAGGTGCATCAGATTTTTTGTTCCGTAACATGTTCCGGTACAAATGGATTTGATGGTAGTAAGTACCAGCACCCTGAGTGCTAGTACTTTTTATCGTAATTTGATCCGTAATTTTTTGCAGTGAACTCTGCAAATGTACAGTGTATTAATATCTTAATGACTTATGTTCTAAGACTCAAGCACACACGAGTGTGACCTCAAATATGCTAATTAATTAGTGCAGAAGATATTTTTTAAGTAACAAAATCAGACTTTAAAACTTTTCTTTGAATGAACGTATCTTTTTTGGATTTGGATTCCTGGGGTAGTGGCCATCTGAAAAATATGGTCCCAATATTTTGGTCAGGAAAACGGTCGATGGTTTGGATTCCTTCATGTGCGCATTTTCCGCATCTTGAAATTTTTTTAAGCGAAAAGAAAATTTTCGTCAGCAATTATAAAATGTGTTTTTTAAAAGACAATTTCATGCAAAAAATTATTTTTTATATTTATTTATTAATTAACATTTTATTAAAGAATTGTCGAAAACATTGCGTAATAAAGTAATAAAACGAAATGAGTGTATATTAATTTTTGACATTTAAAGAATGTAATTTTATGAGGTGAAACACATTTTAATTTTATTTGTTTAAAATAAGTTACCTCACAACTCTTAACAATACGTATCTTATCTTTTTTTAAAATATTTAAAAGTATCTACTTCATTTTAAACTTAATTTTATGAATTTAGCACATTTCATACTAGAATTTGAAATTTTTGAACATTTTGTTTAATGTGTGGTTTTAGTGTGTTTTGATGTAAATCAAAAATGGATTAAAATGTTCAAATTTGAAGTATAAGCATTACATAATGAGAACTGTAACATATCATATAATAAATTATAATTTGCATGTATTTAATAAAATATATTTAAAACTTTTTATATTTTATTAAGTATAAGTTATTTTTTATTTTTACTAAAATATAATATTTATAAAGATTATATTTTACTGTCAATGATCAGTTACTTTTAAAAAATATTTTGAGATGCAAACAGTTTTATTTTTATCTCAACAGATAGAGCCACTAACTCTTTCTTTCCCTTTTTTTAAAAACGTAAAATAATATTTGCCTATTATTATTATTATTATTATTATTTATTAAT